GCTGGTATTTCCCTCGTGCCGCTGCATATGTGTCACTAAAGGCGTCTGAATGTCTCTGTTATGACGCTCTGTTACCCTCTGTGTACCTCTGCTACCCTCTGCTACGCTGTGTTTCCCTCTGTTATTGTGTCTTTGTCTTTTAAAATGTCGAACGTCACGTCACAACGTCACACGTCACGTAATTCCTACATTTCACGTCCTACGTCGAATGTCACATCAATTCACGTGACATTTCACGTTTTGTGTCGAATGTCACATTTCATCAATTCACGTGACATTTCACGTTTTGTGTCGAATGTCACATAAATGTCACGTCCTGCGTCGAATGTCACGTCCTGCGTCGAATGTCACGTCAATTCACGTGACATTTCACGTTTTGTGTCGAATGCCACATAAATGACACGTCTTACGTCGAATGTCACGTCCTGTGTTGAATGTCACATAAATGTCACGTCCTGCGTCGAATGTCACGTCCTGCGTCGAATGTCACGTCAATTCACGTGACATTTCACGTTTTGTGTCGAATGCCACATAAATGACACGTCTTACGTCGAATGTCACGTCCTGCGTCATTTCACGACATTTCACGTTCTGTGTTGAATGTCACATACCTGTCACCTCCTGCGTCAAATTTCACGACATTTCACGTTCTGTGTTGAATGTCACATAACTGTCACGTCCTGCGTCGAATGTCACGTCCTTCGTCAACGTTCTCCTAGCCACTGTCCGAAAAAGAAGAAGAAGAAGAAGAAGAATGTTCATACTGATCGTTGACATGGCTTCTGTGCTTTGACACCTCATACGTCAAAATCATGCCAATAGCAACAAAGATACATTCTAGCGCCCATTTGGACATGCTGCCATCTTTGTTTTTTTTTTGTGTCAAAGTATTCCCCGTCTCATCCCCGTTCCATCGAGCCCTCGTGTCACGTCCTGCGTCAAATGTCACGTCCTGCGTCAAATGTCATGTCCTACGTCGAATGTCACATCAATTCACGTGACATTTCACGTTTTGTGTCGAATGTCACATAAATGTCACGTCCTGCGTCGAATGTCACGTCCTGCGTCGAATGACACGTGACATCCAACGCTTTGACACCTCATACGTCAAAATCAGACCAATAGCAACGAAGATACGTTTTAGCGCCCATTTGGCAACGCCGCCATCTTTGTTTTTTGTCTCCCTGCCTTCTCCCCGTTCCAACGAGCCCTCGTACGTCACGATCGGACCAATAGAAACAAAGATATGACGTAATGACCTTTTGGCATGCTCCGATGCGCACGGCACATACTGCATTCAACCCCATTTTTCATCCCCTTTCCAACGAGCCCTCGTACGTCACGATCGGACCAATGGAAACGAAGATACCCCATAATGACCTTTTGGCATGCTCCGATGCGCACGGCACATACTGCATTCAACCCCATTTTTCATCCCCTTTCCAACGAGCCCTCGTACGTCATCCTACGTTCAGCCGTTTGGAACTTACGACCGGGGGTTGCGATTTTAGGGGTTGCAATTTAGGGGTTGTGCCAGATTCTGTGTACCCTATCTACTGTTAGCCTTTTTGGGGAAACCTTTTGAAGCGATTTTTTGTATCCATCTGGAATAGTGAATATAAAATCAAATAATGATGTGGATAAAGATAAATTTAATGAACGTACCTAACCAGATTATTTACCTCCTAGCAAGTTAAAATAGGAGACGGTCCAAGTGTATCTTTATGTTTTAATGGATGTTTAAATTTAAATTCTATAGTGAACTTAGGAATGCTTAGCAGCTTGTATATGTTTAATTTTATCGTACTTTCTAAGTTTAGCTATTTTACTACAATCCTAATAAATCAATTTAGTGATTGGACGGTCAAATTAAGTTATTGGACAGCTGTCCAATTCTCTCATTGCAATTTCCTGAAAAGTAGTTATTGCTTGAATTGTTGTAAAACAAACACCAAAGTATTGTGAAATATGGACAAAGAACCTTCTTCTTACATTGCCGTCTTCTAACTAAGGATGGAAATCACATTTTTAAAAGGTTCCCTACCTTTTGCAACGTGAAATATCTGTTGAGCACTGAGGTTATAGCAATCTCTGATATTTCTCAGCCGAGATTTCTTGTCTTTCCTTCCCTTTACTTCTCCTAGTACGATGACTTGTAGAAGAAAGTATTTATGTTTTCGAAGAAGCATTTGGCTCAGATACGGCATTTGTCTTATCTTAATTGTGTTCATAAGCTTACTGCCATATTGAATTTGTCTTAACACTTCTTGGTTTGAGACTTTTGTAGTCTAAGGAATTTTAAGAATACATCTATATTCCCATTTCGAATGTCTTCAATTTTTTTACGAATTGGGCATTCGAAGTCTAAACTTTTACTACATCTACCGGCAACGAATGCGAAATAATAAATATAACAAAAATAAAGAAAGTGACAATATCTGGGTCACGTAATGATGGGAAAGCGATATAAAATGCTAAGATTGATAATACAGGAAAAGATAAAATGAGAAAGGGGTAACGGAAAAATGAGAAAGTCGTGTTTAAAATTTTTAAAAAGGTGGTTTAGGCAAAGTTCCATATCCAACCTCCGATTGGGGATAACACAAAAAAGGAAATATTCATTTACTTTTACAATTAGCATCTCAGGTATAAATAGGTGAATACATGTACTGTAGTCATTTCTAAACCCAGCTTGCTTTTTAATGTGGTAGCTGTCAAATTTTAAAGTTAGTCTGTTGGTTATTATTTTAGTTAGCAGTTTATTTATAACAGAAAGTACCCTGATCGGCCTATAATTTTTAAGTTGTCTTTCTTGTTTTCTGAACAATAATAACGTGATTGCTTTATTCCCACTATTTGATATGTTGCTTGTAAGTAACTGTATTGTTTATTAAGATAGGCAAAACTTCTCTTATAACTTTCTTACGGTTTTTAATTACTTCGACTGTATTAAAATCTCTCCCTGGTGATTTGTTAAATTTTATTAAATTTTTTTTATTTCTGTAACCTCGGAAACCTTTTTTGGATGGTGCTAGAAAGATCACCAATGAAGACAATGCGGACTGCAGCCAGATGGTTGGTGGAGAGCGAGTCGTGGGTTCTAAACTAGCTTCTGGAACTGGGAATGGTCCCAACAGACAAAATAAGTAAATATATATTAGATAATATATCTAAGATAAGATATATTAAAAAAGATACAGAAATAAACAAAAAAAATAGATGGCTGAAATTACCAAAGATAAGATAAAATAGAAACAGGGCGCTACTTAACTTTTGGGGGGTTAAAGGAGAAAATTCAGAAACCTAAGAACAGAAAAGAGATAAGAAAAGATATTTAGATTCTGAGACCAAATTCAAGAAAACATATCAACAGTTAATAATTGAATAAATTTGGTAAACACTCTACATAAACAAATATTAAATATATTAGGTGAACTCCGTCCACCTACTTACCTACGAAACTTAATCAGCCTGATCTTTCTTCTGGTCGAAGGTATAGTAATAATATAATAAGCAAATATTTAGAGGTATTTTTATACCAGGAAACCTGTCAGGAGTCAACAAATTCATACATAAAACAAAAAGAATATATCCAACAACACAATGATATAGGTGGCTGAAGGTACTGAAGGTATACACAAGTAATAAAAATACGCCATCAATTATTAAATAATGGTATACATATAAAAATAAACACTTTTATAATAATAAATATATATATATATATATATATATATATATATATATATGTATATATATATATATATGTATATATATATATATATGTATATATATATAATATATATATATATATATATATATATATATGTATATATATATATATATATATATATATATATATATATATTATTTTAGAATAATAAATACCTTTACAAATACAAAATATCATGCACAGTTTAAGTTATCAGCCAAGAGAGTCTGATGCTATTTAAAAATATTCAACTAAAGTTGATTAAAGAAAGTCTCTCTTTACTGTCTAATGGGCGTATCTCGAGATAGCGGTTTAAAAAATATATAACAATTATAGCAAATAACAAAAATTATTTAAATTTAAATTAACAAAAATACAAAAAGTTTACAAGAATGCTGTATTATAAATATTAAACCAACCCGCACTTGGTCTTAGTTAACTATCTATCTCGCACGGTTATTTAATGATTAACTGAGAATTAAATGTTCATAACTTTGAAGTTCTTAATATCTGATAGAAAGTTCGTAAAAAATATTGAATCTTCTTTAAATTCAATTCTTAAATTGGTAGTTAACCTTAACTACAGGTGAAGATTAAACGTAGATTCGCCCAGATAATTGAAGATTATATGATAACATACCATATTATTCGCCTATATAATTAAAGATATTATGATTATGATAAATTACAGTAATTCTTGATGACTGCTGCACTAAACTGATTCTACATACTATACTTGTATCAAGCAATGAAGTTAATTAAATTAAAATGTACTCTATACCAATATTTAATCTAATGTGGTATTAGATTAGGATACGCAAATATTTAAGTGTATACACACTTACAAAAATTCACAGAGGACAGAGACAGTCAGATATGGCGAGCGTTCTTACGCAAAGAGTGCCCTTCCAGAAGTAGTGTGGTTCCTCTAAAAATTTCACAAGCTCCCAAAAAAGGGTGGGGTATTTTCCACTTAAAAATGATAGGCCAGACAGTATGTATTTCTAAAAAGGTAAGTTTCTAACGAACATTAAAAATAATGGTACCCTTCTAGCTAGAAATGTGATGAAATATAAATGCTTTTGGGTTAGGTTTTTACAGATAAAATGCTTTCGACTATTTTGTTTGCCAAAGTATCAAACAAAAACCCGTCTTAAAGCCGGAAAGAATTACCGAGGATTATCTAAACCATCGTCTTATAACAAGTAAATTCGTTGGTAATTTTAATTATAAAAAAATGTTACATTTCGTAAAAACAAAAAAGTGAATTAAAATCTCTATTAAAAGAAGTTTTAAAATTCATTTATTTATTTTATATTAAGGAAAGCCTTTTGCATAATTCTTTAAAATGAGAAAAAGTAATATATTGATCTTTTTCAACTCCAGCTTCGACCATCATTCCCTCAACTTCAGCATCAGTTGCAGGTTCTCCTATCTTGCTTAGAGCCACCTTAAGATCCGCTGCAGTTATTTGACCTAAAATGATAATTTTTGTTTAACATAAAAAAAACTAAGGGCATAACAGGATGAGAATGTCAAAATTGTCCCAGCGTCAGTTTGACCCAAAATTTGGGGTTATGTTCAGCATCTCCAAATTTTAGCAAAAAAATTTTGACACATAACCTCAAAATTCTCTTAAACGTCAAAAATCGTTTTTTTGGCCATAACTCGCTTAATTTTTTATTGAAATTTTTAAAATAAACATTTTATTAAAGGTTTTTTTGTGCTTTACAAAACTATTTAACCCAAAATAAGTGTTGGCAGAAAATTCAAATTGATTTGAATGTTTGAAAATATTAAAAGCCTATATATGTTTTTTTTAGAATTTTTAAATTGGCACAATTGAGTTCAAAATCGAACAAATGGGTTTTTTATCCTTTTTGTCCCCATTTATTGAGTTATATTTTTAGATTGAAATGTGCTACTCTTTAGCTAAAAGTTTCTCTAACAAATAGCTGACATCAATACCTTTAATTTGGACCTTCAATGAATATTACGTTAAAAACATATATTAAAACAGCAAAAAATAGCAACACCTTTTTCTTTGTAAAATTATTAATTTTTGATTCATATTGCTTAGCTTAAGTAGCCCACAGGGTCAAATCTGGAGTTTAACTTAAGGTCTTAACCTTCGGCCAGGAGCGCCCTAAAGAATTACATCATCAGGCGCGCCGCAGCAATTTGCTCCCATGTAGTTTCTTATTGTTTTCGACACTTTTAATTATTGATTGAACTAATTTTAATAAATTGTACAGAAAAAAAACTTTTAATTTATTAGATCATTACAATTAATACATACAATATTAGATTTAGAATGTCTTTTACAAGTGAATGCAACACATTGTCTACATTTCATAAAGGTATGCAACTTGATTTTTCCACTGTAACAATTGCAGCATCTACTACTTTTAGCAGGATTTTCGTCTTCTTGATGGGGTACTGGTTGCTTCGGAAACATCCTAAACAGGAACTCGGTTATATCACGTGAAAGTATTTTAATTTGTGATCGTGTATGAAGGTGTTCTTTTATCAAGTTCATTGCAAAGTTTTTAAGAAAATGTCTCCTTTTGAGTGATTTTCCAGAATTTGCAGGGGAATGTAGAACAAAAGCATTTATGCCTCCAATATTCATTAAATTATAGAATATAACACACACCCATCATTTATTAATTCATGAAACACTGTATGATGAACATAATTTATGTACAGTATCAACTCCTCGTTTTGTTTTATTGACTAAAATTACCTGTGGTTTCTTAGTATCCATGTCAACTGTATTTTCGTTGTGCATAGACGATAATAATATGACTGATTACCTTTTACGCGGCACGTAAGAGGTAATCATATAATCTTTTTGAAATCCAAATATGCTAGATTGAACTGCCCTTGATTTATTTGGAAGAAATTCTTGAGGAATTTCTCTTTTGTTTTTCTTCAGCGTCCCAACAAGAGTAACTTTTTTCTGCAGCAAATATCTAGCTAACGGAATACTAGTATAAAAATTATCTGTTGTTATGTTTCTTCCTGTCATTTTTACGGACTCCATTAGACGTTTTACAACGTCAAAGGCCGAATTTGATACGTCGCATGGGCCACTTGACTGTTTACCGCAATATCTCTAAATTGGCGGTATAAAATGTTTGAGCATCACATAACGCCGACAGCTAATAACGCGACATAATCTAATGGCCGACAGCTTGTCTATTTAACATCTGTCACTCCTTGTATGTTTATCATCAAATCTCAATGAACGTGCAATAAATAGGAAACATTTGTGTGATTGCCGTGCTTTATGCCAATCAAATAAAGGAGTCCAAAAAAGGCCAATAACTCACTCCTGTTCACATTCTTTCATCTTCAATATCTGTTATATTATTTAGAATTTCCTCTAATTGTGCTTGGGTTAACACTTCCTTTGGATTTTTACGAGACATATCGTAATATAAAATTATAAAATATGTTATAATATAGCATTCTACAATAATCTAATATGTTTCATATAAATTATTAATTCTTAAAATAATTATATTATTAACAATTGTACTTACCAATAAAATTTCAACTTCACGAAAAAGACATATAATATATTAGTTATTAAAAAAAAAATTGCGCGAATTTCACTACCAGGCGCCTTGCAGCAATTGTTTGCCTCGATAAACGTATACGCTCACGATAAAGTACGGTAACTAACTAATTGGATTTGGATTTCACAAGACGATGATTGGTATCGACTAAGGATTAACCGATAAGGGAGTTTTAAAAATATCACGTACATAGCGTATCCCGTTAACACTTTACCTGGAAATATTGAGTTTACGCTGCAAATTACTGCGGCGCGCCTGGCTGAAGGTTAGTTTTAGTTTTTAAAAAGTTAGTTAAATAATAATTAAACTAGAAATATAAGATAAACTGGCAAGAATGGCAATATATCCAAAAAACCGAAGATTTAATCAGGCTTTCGTCTCTTAAATCAATATAACCCTGATTCCAGAATTGTCCATTTGATGGTTCATCTGGTTTATCATTCTTATTTATTTATTTATTTTACTTTTACTCTTGTATATTTATTTTTTATTTCGTAATATTTCAGTCTTACTGCGATTTCCTGAATAAAACTTATTCTGCTACGTAGTCGGTACGTTCGTTGCTTCTCTTAGACCGCTGTTATGTACCGCTTGTATCCTTTTCTTTGTTTTATTACAGATGTGTCCCCATTCAAGTGACGCAGATGTGAGTATTGGTAGAATTATATTGGTTATTGGCCTTATTTTTAGTTTACTTCTTAGTCTGATTTTTCTACCTACTAGTCCTTTAGTTAATGTTTTTGCCATGTTGGGTTTTTGTAGTGTGGCATCTACGTAGTTTTTGAAGGTAAAACATTTATAGTGACACCCAGTTATTTTGCTTCCTTTTTACACTCGATGGGATTGTCTTACACTAGCAGTTGTTCCTCAGGTTATTGCATTCTCTCTTTGAATAGTACCCCTAAAGTTTTTTCGTAGTTTAAGGCGATTTTCCATTTAATACTCCATTCGCCAAACGCTGTTTGCATAGTGTTTACGGATATATCAAAATTTTTGTATTTGGTCGCTATCGCTGTGTCATTGAAATAAATGCTTAATAGAGTTTCTGGTGTTCTTCAGACGTCGGCGGTGTATATTGTGTACAGTAGGGGTAACAGGCTTCCTGTAGCACTACAACACCTGGAGTCTCTGGGGGTACCGAGTTAGAACAGTATTTGTCCTATTTGAACTTCCAATCTTTGGTTGCTTGAACGAAGAGATTAGTATCGTCTTTGTACCACTGTAACCATAATCTCTAATTTTTTAAATAAACTCTATATGCCAGACTCTATTGAAAACATCTGCTAAACACCCAACATTTCTAGGCTTATGTAAGGCTACAGCTTCTAACTTTTTGTGCATATTGGATGTGCAGATCAAGAGTCGTCAGACTCTTATGTAGATTAAATGAAACATAAGAGTATCATTTAACATTTGTGTTTTATTATTATGTCCATTATAATGGTAGTCAAGAACACGAACATATCGAGAACATGAGTCATATTATCAGCGTCTGCATCAGAATTCTCAAAATACTTATTAATAAAACTATTCAAATGTGTATTATGAGTTAATCATTAATTAGTTCACTATAACAGATAAAGCGAAAACTTGCATTCGTTTGGAAAAATATTTCCATGAGATTTTTTGCAATGAATTTTTTAAAGAAATAAATAATTTTTTAACAAATTGTGTCAATAAATTTTATTAGCCTGTCCAATGTTTTAATGTTTTGGACCACTCTGGATAAAAACATAGGTCTCTTGTAATTTTTCTGTAAACTTGATCGTTTCCAAGTAAACAATTAAAAACGAAAAAAAGCGCAAAATTACGATTTTCATGGCTCAAACACAGGTAAAAAATATTATTTTTAAATTCACCCTTATTATGCTTTAAAACAGGGTTTAGTTATATCAGTTGCCGATTAGCATGCGGTGCTTACTTAATTTTAAAATAAATATTGTTCTTTAATGAAGCGAAAGACAAGAGAGGCGCTCGAGATGCGGCGTTTATAAAAGAGAGAAACAAGATCTATGGCACAAATATTTGCTGATTTAAATGTTCGTTGTACAAAAAATAATGTTTTAAATAAAATAAGCCTAGAGTTTTCAACGGGATGTATCGAAGAAGGCTTGAAGTTGAATTTAGAAACTTGATGATTTTAAAAATATTTTTTACTTAGTTATTCAGATTTGATAATCGTGATTTTGCATATTTTTGTAATTTTAGATTATGTTTATCTCGTTTTTTTTTGATCATAATGATTTAAAAAACCTAAAAAAAAATTATCTGCGCCGAAAAATTTATTGCTACAATTTGTTTATAAAAATCTTTTTAGAAAAATTTAAACAATTTTTTGCCTGGGCGACCGGACCTCTTAAACCTTATTTTGCGATATTTTAGGAAAGTAATTATAAACACTGCTCCAAGAAATTAACGCACACTTCAATAAATCAATTTTATTTGTAAACAGGCAAAAAATAAAAAATAAAACTTCACCAGACTTGTTCTACATTTTTTTAGTAATTATAACAATTTGTCTAATCATCAGAAAATGTTAAAGTACTGGAGAAAAAAAATAAAACGGAAAATTCTAAAATAATAATGATAAGAATAGTAAACTAAAATATGAAAAAAAATCTTAATAACGAGTATTTTCACCTCTACTAGGTAGAACAGCCTCACATCGTTGGCCCATACTTAAAATTAATTGCCGTATTTCATTTTGGTCTAGTTCTCTCCAAATCTGGGATATCCTAGAGATTTTAAGTCGGATTTAAATCATCCGGACTATGTGCTGTTCATTCCATAGTGTTAATTTCTACCTCTTCTAGATAATTTCTGACGATCTGTGCAGCGCGAGATCTGGCATTATCTTGCATTATTAAGAAATTTTCACCGATATAAGGGGCGAACGGTACTACATGTTGCTCCAGGATCTCCAAATTGTACCTTACAGCTGTAACAGTTCCATTTTGTATGACCACTATATCCTCCACCATCTACGATCCTCCACCAAAAAATGTGGTGTTTGAGAAGTTACACTGAGCATAATCGTTCATTGTAGCAAAATGTAGTCCCCCTTCGATGCTCTGCAGTTAATAATAGAGGATCTCGGGCGGCAATCCTAGGTGTTAAATTGTATGTTCTAAGTCGCTGGCGAACATGTTCTATTCGCATGCACATCCCGAAGCTGAATTTGTAGACTTCGATGTGTTACAAAACGTTGTCGAAGAGCAAAAATTCCTAACAATTGATCTTGAATAGGGGTAGTTACCCGGTTTCGCTTTTGCCCTGGTCTGCGAGTTTGATCTCCTGTTTCAAAAAATCTTTCTAACACCCGTGAGACGGATGTGTGGGACACATTAAACCGACGACCAATTCTTCGCTAACTCCAACCTTCTTCCGACAGTATCACTGCTTGGGCACATTCATCTCGGTCTAAAATAATGTAATCAACAATTAAACAGTAGCCGAGTGTAAGAATAGCATATACAATGGGCTTGGAAAATATAACATTACAATGGAAATTATTATTAATTTTTATTAACTAAAATATTTCATTGGATATTTTACAATTTCAAAGTGGTACGTTAATTTCTTAGAGAATTGTAAAACAATGATATGGAAATATTTTTCTGAACGATTTCAAGTTTTTCATCTTGTATATATCAGTTAATAGATTTTAAGAAGCAATTTTACTAATGAATAAAAATAGGTACTTACATAGTGTTACCGCTGGAGTATACTTACAAATAAATTAAGCAATTACACAAACCTTGACCTCTGACATCAAACATGTTAAACATGCGCCGCATTTCATCTTCTCTAGCGATATGTATTTCGTATTTTTTCATCATTATTAGAAACTCGCCAAAATCGATCTCACCATTCTGGTCAAGATCTACTTCATCAAACATAATCTGAAGATCTTTTCTAACAAGAATAAAGAAATACAAATATTAAAAGTATACGCTTTTTATGATTAAACCTTAGTTTAAATGATATTTTAAAAATGAAAACTGCTTTGAAAATGTTTTACTGACTTCAACATAGAGTTGAAATTATTTTTATTTATGAAGAGATTTTTAAGTTTACAAGTGAAAACATGTTTGTTGTAAAACGCCACAAAACGTAAATATAACGTGTTGTAAACATACATATTTTTAACAATATTGACAAAATCATTTAGTTTTTTTTTGCTCCTTTTAGAATTACACACGTTTCAGCGACCAGTGACCCCAATCACTGTCTTTGATGGTTCTTGCTCTATTTCCAAACCACGGATTTCTTGTAACTTCGGCCTAATTGTCCTCAAGTAAATTAATAAAAATAGCACGCTCTCTTTGATATGAATTCACAAAAATTAAATTCTTTACATCTAGTTGAGGAACAAGGATTTTAAATTACAAAATTTTTTATACATAGCAGCCACGTTTAAGATACTATAAAAAAGTACTATTGGCCATTGACAAGTAGCACGGGCACTATATTGAGCGCACATTTTATTTACCATATTTACGGCGCCATTTATTTGATGTTATAACAAAAATAATTTTTTTCCTAATCGACCAACGGACTAACAATGAAATGATGATTGGTAGTTTAGATCGTGAAGCGAACAAAAAAGTTGAAAAAACTTTTCTTCTTTCAGTGCCTATTTGTTCCGAATATTGGCAATCATTCTGGCTATAATTATTTTATTGACTGATGCTTTAAATAGATTCGTTGTTGTTGTGGAGAACCATTTCCTCAGGTTCTTCAACCATGATATTCTCCTTCTCCCAATTCCTCGCTTTCCGAATACTTTACCCTGTAGGATTACCTTCAGTAATCTGTATTTAGTGCTGTTTCTCATTATATGTCCGAGATATTCCAACTTTCTCCTTTTAATGGTATACATCACCTCTCTTTCTTTGCCCACTCTTCGTAATACGGTCTCGTTGGTTATCTTGTCTGTCCATGATATCCTTAGAATTCGCCTGTATAGCCACATCTCGAAGGCTTCAAGTTTTTTCTCCATTGCTTCAGTTAGTGTCCAGGATTCAACTCCGTAATACAATATTGAGAAGATATAACATCGTAGGAGCCTTACTTTTATCTCCAGATTAAGATTGTGGCTTTTAAAGAGTTTGGCCATGTTATTGAATGCACTCCTAGCCTTCTCTATTCTACATTTTATTTCCTGTGAGTGATCCCATTGTTCATTTACTGTTGTTCCAAGATAGTTATACTGTTTTACTCGGTCCACTGGTGTATTATTGATAAGTAGTTGAGCGTCTTTAACTTTATTTTTGCTGATGATCATAAATTTAGTTTTTGTTATATTTACTTGAAGTCCAAATCTTTCACTTACTTCATTTACTTTGTTTATTAGTTGCTGTAAACTGTTTAAACTGTCTGCAAAAATAACGGTGTCGTCTGCATAACGGATGTTGTTTAGGCGTTCTCCATTTAGAAGTATTCCATGTTCGCATTTTTCCAAGGCTTCACTAAATATTTCCTCTGAATATAGATTAAATAATATAGGTGAAAGTATACAACCTTGTCTAACGCCTCGTAGAATCTGGATCATTTCCGTTGGTTCACCTCCAAAATTCGTTCTTATTGTGGCTGATTGGTTCCAGTATAAATTTTGTTTTATACGCCGATCTTTATCATCCATTTGGGCTTTTGTTAGAATATTCATCATTTTTTGGTGTTGAACTGTATCAAATGCTTTTTGGTAGTCCACAAAGCAGGTGTAAATATCGCAAGTCATACCTCTGCATCTTCGAAATAATACTTGTAAACTAAACAGTGCATCTCTTGTACCTACGCCTTTCATGAATCCAAACTGTGTGTCTTGTATTCTCGCTTCGCATAGCTTGTATATTGTACGATGTATAATTTTAACATTAGACTTATTAGCCTATATTCTCCGCACTTTTTTGCTCCCTGTTTCTTTGGTAAGGTAATAAATTCTGAAAGTAGCCAATCTTTTGGGATATTGCCTGTGTCATAGATATTATTGAAGATTTTACATAGTACTCTTAAAGATTCATCATCAAGAAGTTTAAGAAATTCAGATTGTACTCCGTCTGGTCCTGGAGCTCTACCTTCTTTTAGTAATATTATGGCTGCTCTTATTTCTGCCACTAGTAGGTATAGGTGGTCCTGTTTCCGTAGGTATTGGGGGCTGGTTCTCTCTCTCATCAAAAAATAAATTTCTTATGTAATTTTTCCAGGTATCATTGATACTCTCTTTGTCCACGATTATCTCTCCATTGTCATTAACAAGTTTACTTATTCTTCTGTTTTTACATTTACCTGTAATTTCTCTTACCTTTTTATGTACGTTGAAGCCGTCGTATTTACTTTGGAGAATTTCGATTTCTTGGCATTTTTTCTCCAGTTCTTTCTGTTTGGCTTCTTTGATCTTTCTCTGTATCTCTCGCTGTAATGTTTTATACATGGATGGATAATAAATGGATAATAAAAAACTTTTAAGTTACCATAATTAACAACCAAGATCTAAAAATAATTAGAAGTATTTATTGGAATCAGAATGTAAATCTCAGAATTGAAGGTGAACACATCGAATATGTGAAAATCATTCGTTGAGTGAGGCAAGGCTGTATTTTGTCTTCTTTAATCTTCAATCTTTACACTAAAAACATATCTATAAAAGTTCCTGCTTTTTTCTTTTTGTAGTGCCTATCCGTTTTGGATGTTGACGACCATCATGGCAATCTGTATTTTGCAAACAGCGGCTCTGACAAGATTTGTGGTTGTTGTGTTGAACCATGTACGTAGATTTTTCAGCCTAAAAATTCTTTGCCTTCCAGGTTCTCGTCTTCCTTCTACCATTCCTTGAAGTATAAATTGCAGCAATCCATATTTTTTGCTGCTTCTCATGATGTGACCGAGGTATTCAATTTTAATTGTTAATATACGACACTTTTCCTCTTTGCATTTATAATAAAACGTCCTGAATAGTAACTTGGTTACTAACGATAAAATCACATTTCAAAAGCCTCAATTTTCTTACAGGTAGCGTCTGTAAAAATCCCCGACTCAATTCCGTACAACACTATAGGAAATATATAACATCCTATCAACCTGATTTTTATGGGTACCGTATAATGGGGTGAATCGGATCGCTGTGGTGAATAGGATCAAAAGTACGGAATGTGTTAATTAAATCCACAATGTTTAAATAACGCGCCAAAACCGTTTCATTTCAGCGTGATGGGTTGCGATCATCATAGTCGCGTAAAGGTTAAAGATATCTCGACATATATATATATATATATATATATATATAATATATATATATATATATATATATATATATATATATATATATAGTCCCAAGATTCCTAAGAGGAACATATGGCTTCCACACAGTGTCTCCAGCGAACTCTATTTCTGGCTAGTGCTTTGATTTCAAGCCAGGATTTTCCCATTGTTCTCCCTTCGTCCAGTACTGTCCTTCTCCAAGTTCCCTTAGGTCTGCCTACTTTCCGTCGGCCTTGGGAATTCCAATCCAGTGCTGTCCTGGCAATGTCATTTGGCGGTCTACGGAGTGTGTGGCCCAGCCATCTCCAGTTTCTTCGCCTTATTTGCTTTATGACATTTTCTTGGTTGCTTTGCAGCACTGCAGGAAATAGGAATACCAGAAAAAATAGTAAATCTCATCAAAGAACTCTACAGTGACACAGAAAGCAAAATCCTACACAACGGCATAACATCTGACCCAATAGCTATGCTAAACGGAGTAAAGCAGGGCTGTGTTTTATCCCCTATACTATTTAACATTGTACTGGACTCCGTACTAACAAAGGTAAACTCTAATAGAGGAATTTACTGGGGATTAACAAACAGACTGGAAGACCTAGATTACGCTGATGATATATGCCTCCTAGCACATACAAAACAGGACATGCAACTCCAAGTAAACAAAGTACAAGAAGAATCAAAGAAGGTTGGTCTAGAAATAAACACCAACAAAACCAAAGAAATGCGATTTGGTACCAGAAACAACCAACCTATTATTATCAACGACCAGAAAATTGAGAGAGTAGCGGAATTTGTATATCTGGGCAGCATAATTGACTGTAATGGGGGTACAGAGCGTGATGTACATGAAAGAATAAATAAGGCTCGCAACGCCTACAACATGCTTAACAACATATGGAAATCCAGGATTTACCCAACGAAAACGAAACTAAAAATTTTCAACACAAACGTAAAAGCTGTATTACTGTATGGCTGTGAAACGTGGAAGATATCAGCACCCATAGTACACCAATTACAAGTTTTCATTAATAGAGCGTTACGAAAAATCCTTCGTATATTTTGGCCTAACCGAATCTCCAATGAAAATTGATGGAACCAAAGCAACCAAGAAAATGATATCTCGACATGCGCAGCATGTAATACTGAAGGTCAACACATAACCTAAAAACATTGTTAGTCACGTATTTTTGAGCGTACAAAAACTTTGTGGTAATATCCTAAATAAGGTGACGTACATTCAAATTCTGCAGTGTTTGTGGGTCCAATAGGTTAGTAATTATTGTACACAAAGTAGTTTTTGTTCATTTTTTATTCCATAACAAACTGGAAAATTATTTGTAATTTGCTGCATTTGTTGTAGATATTTGAGGTGAATTGGATCAATAGCTGGGGTGAATAGGATCGATAGCTGGGGTGAATAGGATCAATAGCTAACGTAAATAGGACAATTAGCCGCTGTGAATAGGATCAAAAACTGGTCTAAATAAGGTTATTCTAGGTATCTACATCTTTGCTCAAGATGCCTAGAGTTTACAGACCTAAAGTTGGTGGGAAAATGTACAAAAAACCAAACCAACATGTCATTGATGCTGCGAAAAAGGATGTCAGTAATGGTTACAGTATAAGACAAGCCGCTAAAAGAATCAATGTTCCTT